GGGAACAGCGTGGGGAGCCTGGAACCACAGCCCAGGATCAGGGTCTGGTAAACCTGAGACCACCCCCCCCCCCGGACAGAAGCTGAGATGCCTCCCCAAGGACAGCCACCCGGTGGCAGGTGGCAGGAGGAGAGGTGCTCAGTAGGACAATGCCTCAGCTCCAGCCAGGACGGGGACCTCTGTGTGTGCAGATGGACAGAGGCTGAAATGAACAGGAGCCTCTCTGGTGGAGGCCGGGCTGGCCCATCCTCCCTGCCCCGCTCCCTGGATGGCCAGACTCCGAGGCAGCTCCCAGGCCTGGCCACGGCTGGCAGCCAGGAGCAGCCCTGGGTGGTGTCTGGACCTCGGGCGAGGGGTCAGACTCCCACCCTCAGACACAGTGGGCAGCATTGAAGGGCAGCTGGGAGGGCCGGCGTCCTCTCCATTAATCAATTATCCCTGTTTAGAAACAGAGTTGCCCTTGAGCTAAGGCTGTGACTAAGAGCCGCTCAGGCCCCCACCCAGCCCTTCCTCCTGTCCCCACGCCCTCGGGGACGCCTGGCCTAGTCCTTCAGGGCTCTGCTTCCTGGCATAACTGCAGGGCCCCCACCAATGCCACAAGCAGCTCCAGTCCCCTCCCGAGGACCCCCTACCTGCCGGTTTCCTCCCCAGATGGGAGAAACTGAGGCTCCTTTGGGGAGACTCCAGAAGGACCACTGATGTCTCTCCCTGCTAGGATGGGGTGGGGTGGGGGTGCGGGACCACACCAGGTACCCAGGGGCACCTGTCAGGCCAGCCCCAGACAGCCCCCAGCTCAGTCTCAGAGAGAGTGTGGGGACCCTCAGGATTCCAGGCTGAATCTCCCCCGCCGTCCCCACACAGCTCCTCGGGGCTGAACTGACTTCCTCCTCCTCTCTGCTCCTGCCTCTCCCATTTGGAAACCCACCTGACCCACCTGCCGCTCCCTAAACCTCCCCCAGCCCGCAGGCCCGCCTCCTCCAGGAAGCCCTCCGCACCACCTCTGCTGGGCAGTGCGGCCGCCCACACTCTATGCTGGACTCAGGAGTGAGGGTGCCAGCACTTTAGTGTGGATCTGCCTCAGAGACCTACTCTGCCCATTTTACAGGTGAGGAAACTGAGGCCTGGAGGAAAACCAAAGCCAAAGCTTCTTGGACCAAGAAAGCACCTAGAGGTGACCCAGGCCTTGGTTCTCAAAGACTGCCCTTGACCCTCCAGGTCCTTCCTGACCCCAGGGCATCCCAAGGGAGAGGCCACATGGGAGCTGCACCCATGGAGGCACTGGGGGCCTGGAACTTGTCACCATCACTGCGTTGTCCCGGACAGCAGCCCTCACTTCCTGACCCTCTGCCAGGCTGGCTCTGGGTCTCCCCTGCGCTGACTCATGCAACCAGCACAAACATCGCTCGTGTAATCTCCCCCGAAAAGGAGGGGAAACGGGGACCCAAGAGGTCCGGTAGGTTACTCTGGTCACTCAGTCACAGGCCTGGGGGACACCAAAGCCAATCCCAGACAAACTGAGCCACTGGCCTGTGACGGGCTGGATGGGGGCCTCTGTGGCCGGCTGGTGGCCTGGCCTGTCGCTCCACCCTGGGAGGGGCACAGGCCCAGTTCATGCTCCCCGGGTCTCCCCCTGCTCTGCAGAACGGCTTTGGGACAGCCCTTCCACACGAAGCCCCCTCCCTTGCGCAGACCCAGCCCTGACTTGTGATCCAGGCGGGAGAAGAGGAGGGAGGGGCAGAGAAATGGGGGAGGAGAAGGCTCTTTCCAGGGGCCCCTCCCGCCACCCTCCACCGTCACCAGCCGGGTCCCTTGCTCCCTCCCCCACTCTCGTTCAAATAAAAGAATTTGGGGGAACCAGAAAAATTTGACTTTTATTTTCAAAACTGGAATCAATTATAATTGGGGGGTTAGTTAAATATTCCCAACTGTGTTTGAGCTCAGGTCTGCGGTGCCCAAACCCAGCTGAAGGAGGGACAGCAAAGTGACTGTTAGAGGTGTGGGTGGGAGAAGGAAGGCCAGGGGCTGCCCCTGCAGGCACAACGGCTGGGCTTGCATGCCTGACACTGCAAGCCCTGCCCTGCACAGCAGCCCTGCACACCCAGCCCTACACACCCTTCCCTGCACAGCAGCACTGCACACCCCGCCCTGCACACCCTGCCCTGCATGCCCTGCACTGCACACCCAGCCCTGCACGCCCTGCTCTGCACAGCAGCCCTGCACACCCAGCCCTGCACACCCCGCCCTGCACACCCTGCCCTGCAACACCCAGCCCTGCACGCCCAGCCCTGCACACCCCGCCCTGCACACCCTGCCCTTCTTCCACAAGAGAACAGGCTGGAAAGGAGGCAGGTCAGCCACATTCCAGCTTATCTACCACCTCCTGAAGGCCACATCTGCTCTCTGACTGGCCACTCTCCCAGGAAGCCCCCACCTGGGAAGGTAGTCACAGGTCCAGTCCCCCTGATGAAGATGCTCCTGCCCTACCTGGGGACCCTGCTCCTCTCTCCTCCAAAGGAGATCTCAACAGGGATCCACCCTGGCCAAGGCATGACCTGGCCCCAGGAGGCGGTGTGGCAGGGGTCCCATGTGCTCCCTGGGACAGACATTGCTTCAGCCCCGCTCTGCCAGTCACGAGCAATGGTCGGCAGCTGCTGGGCCTCCTGATCCTGCTTTCCTCTCCCACTAGGCAGATGAAGTGAGGCTTCAGTGAGATGGCACAGAGCGTGGCTCAGAGCCAGGAGGGTGCCCTGAGAGGCTGTCCCCACAGTCACCGTGGAGGGGGACTGCTGCACTGGGGGCTGAGCCTGGAGCCCAGATGCCCCTCTGAGTCTGACACAGAAGTCAGGGCCCCAGAAGTTGGCAGGCACAGGGCACGTGAGGCCACCCCTACCCAGTGTACCTGGGTGTGGAGCTCAAAGCAGGTGCTGCCCTGGACCTGGGCAAGACAGTCCCTCCCACTAGCTGCTGGGCCCCACAATGACGCTGATCCCCCCAAAGATGCCCAGCTCTGCCCTAGATCCTGCACTTCTAGCTAGATGCTGGAGCCCCCTCCCCATGAGCTGCTCAGCCTCCCCCCACCCCGGGATGCAGAGCCCCCACTAGATGCCCAGTTCCCCCAACAGGTACCTAGTCCCCAGCCCCACAATGAGTCCTCTGCAAACTCTGCTACCCTCTGGGACCCAGGAGCCAAGTGTCGGGGTGCCATGGGTAGGGGACGCTGCTTTGTACAAGGAAGTGCCCACTAGGGAGGCTCCGAGATAGAGCCTCGACAAAGACTAGGCAGGGGTGGGAGGGGTGCCTGACAGTGGACAGAAAGCAGTGCACGGGAGGGTATGGCACGGGGCTGGCCCTGAGGGGGAGGTCAGGTGTCCTTGGCCCCTTCCCAAACAGGACCAGGACTGGTCCCACCCCAGGGTCGCCTCCCCACCGCCCTCCCCCAGGGCAGGGGCCTCAGCAGGGTCTGCTTTGCCAACTGTCCAGCCACAACGCTTTCCTGGAAACCTCCCAAAGGCAGCTGGCTGCCAGGAGGTGCCTTCCCACCCCAGCTCGACCGCGCTGGCATTTCCCCACGAAGCCGAGGTCAAGCAGTGCCCATTTCAAAAAGATGAAACGATGAGACAGGAAGGCCTCGTCGCATGTCCCAGTATCCACCAGTCACCGTAATTAAAGTTCCCAACCAGAGACGAAGTGTGATTGCTGCAGCCCCCACCCCCATCCTGCCGTGGACCCCAGCCTGCCATCCGGGCAGGGGTAGGCCACCTGCAACAGCCCATGAGGGACTTGAGGTCTGAAACCACAAGGAGGCGTGACTGAGGCTGAAAGCCTAGATGTCACAGGGCAGTGACAGGGGACCTACAGAGGACCATTCATCTGCATGAGACAGACAGGCCTCACTCCATGGCCCGGGCAGCAGCCCTCCTGACCACCCAGAGCCCAGGAAGCCGCAAGCACTGGAACTGTCCAGCTACAGACGGCACCCAGTAAACCCTCCAGCATCAGAGGCGTCCAAGCCGCCAGCCTTTCCAGCAGTGGTCACCTGGAGCCACATCAGAACTCTGGGGAAACTCAGCACCTGCCTAGGACCCCTGTCCTCAGACCAGCGCTCGAGGAGAGGCTACCTCGCATGGCCATGCAGGGAACGGCGAATGGGCAGGGGTCTCCTTTGCAAACATGGGGACCTCCAGACTCCCTCTGATTTCCTCAGGTTCCCCTCCGGTTGGCTCCTAGGCAGCGCCTGCAAGGACCCGCTCGTCACCCGTCACAGGCGCAATCCCAGATCACGGAGACCGCTTGGGTATATTTCACCCCAACGCGCCCACCTGGCTCGGCCCCTCGGGGCTGTGGTGAGAGACTGGGCGGAGCAGAAGCCACAGAGGAAGGGAAAAGCCTCACTTCCCGCACTCAAAGAATTAGGACGAAGGTCCTTTCGGTGATTTTCTGTGTCTCTGCTTGCTTCACCTGTGCGCATTTTCTCGTGCACCGGGAGCTCCTACCGCAGCCGGCCTCGCGCGCTCAGTGCCAACTCCCAGTTCAGGCGCACCGTGGTTTACTCAGCCAATCGCCTCTGCGGGGACCGCCGGAGTCCCCCTCTCTCGACATCAGGGATGAGAGCTCTGGCCGTGTGGCCATGCAGCTGGACGACCCTGGGACAGGCTGCTACCCGAGCTGCCAGGGACCCCAGCCACTCCAGGCCTTTCTCTGGGCCCCGTTGTCCCTGCCCATAAATGATGGGGTTGGACAGAGTGGGCTCTAAGATTACATGGTGCAGAGCTATTGCAGAGGAAGGGGTCTCTTGGGGTCGCCCCCTCCTCCCAACAGCCTCGGATGGGCTGCAGGGAGCCGGTGGAGCGGGGAGAACGTCCTCAGGAGAATGCCCGCTTGTCTAGGGGTCTCCCCTGCAGGACCCTGTGCGGGAGAATCACCCCCAGCACATCCCTTGCTCCTCCACCCACAGGCTGGCCACAGCCTGGGCCCTGGTGCCCCAAGGGGGCTCCACTCACCGTACTGACAGCGGGGGCCCCGGAAGCCTTGGGGACAGTGGCAGGGCTGGGCCAAGCCTGGCACACAGCGGCCGCCATGAAAGCAGAACCCAGCACTGCACTCGGCTGTGGAGAGAAGGAGAAAGGCCGGTGAGGAGGGGCAGGAGCCTGGGGCAGCCCCCAGCCACCCACGGGACACCAAGTCCCTGGGGACGGCCCTCCCCCTTGCGAAGTCTTCCCATCCAGCTGTAACTCCACCCTCTGCTTCTGAGACGGAGGGTCTCCAGCCCCGCCCCGGGCACTGCAGGACCCGGACCCTGGACACGGAGAGGAAAGCGCGGCCCCACCTCGGACCTTGGAACATGTCAAGAGGTGAGCACCCGGTCCTGGGGAGGGTCCGACAGGCAGGCAGCCCCACCTCAGGCTGTCAGTTTGCTGGCCCAGCTCTGCTCTGCCCTAGGCCACTGCCGCCCCTCCCCCACCAGAGCCTGAAGTGTCCCCCTCTCCACCCCCCCAATGGCCACACCCAGCAGGGTTAAATGGGAGCCCTCTGAGTTGCAGGGCATTTCCTGGGGGCAGCGGGTAGGGAGTGAGGGGGTAGAAGGGAGTGGAAGGAGGGCAGAGAGTGCAAGGGGCAGGGCGGGGGCAGCAGGGTGGCCAGGACACTGCCCACAGCTGCGAGGGGGCCTGAGAGCCTGGCTGAGGCCTTGAAGGTGGAACCTACCAGGCTGGTCCTGTCCCCAAGGAGGGGCGATCCTGGCCCAGTCCAGCAGGAGCACAGGATGGAAGGAAGTGAGGGTCCCCGGCAGGAGGAGGCCAGCGCTGGGGAGGGGCTGGCTTCATCCTTCTGCAGGGGAGACCCCCTGCTCCCCAGCCCTCTCCCCGGCCCTCTCCCCAGCCCCACTCTGGGCAGCGTTTGCTCCTGCTGCCTTGCGGCTCCCTAGGCTCAGGAGTGAGACCACCAGTGTGGAGGTGGAGGAGGCTGTGCTGGGCCCACAAGGCGACGGCTCAGTGGGGGGAAGGCGAGTGGGGCTTGGCAGGCAGCTCCTCCAGCTGACAGTCCCAAACTGCCCCGCTGGCCCCTGTCACAGTGAGTGCCCAACCAGGCTGGACCAGGTGCCTCCTCGGGGGGACTTTGGTCAGTGTCCTTGACCCCACAGCTACCACCTGCAAATCCCCACACACGGGAGGGCAAGGTCAGGTGTGCAGATTGCACCCCACCCCCATGGGGAGCTCGCTGGGTGAGTGGACACTCCCAACAGTGACCTGGCCACCCCTGCCACCCCGAAGCTTATGACCCTCAGGCTCAGAGCTTGTGTGTCACTGAGAGCATTCCTGCCAGGGCAGGGAGGAAGCTCTAGAAGGAGCAGGGCTCTGCTGGCAGCCAGGTGAGACCACCTGGGATTCCCAGGGTGCGGGCTGAGTGGGTCGAGGGGAAGGATGACAGCCAGGCACACGGGTCCGAGTGGCTCCTGGATCAGGTGCTGCACCTGATGCAGAAACCGAGGCTCAGAGACGTTCAGTACGTGTCCTCAGGTTGCACAGTGAGGAGCGACCAGGGTGCAGGCCAGCACTGAGACACAGGCTCTCTGTGGATGCTTCTTCCTCTGCGGTCCTGCACCCACACCCACCACCGCTGCCCCTGTGGCCCCGCTGCTCCTCCACACCCGGCCACCCTCGGTCCCATCAGACTCTTCCCTCCAGCCAAATCTGCAGCTGGAGGATGTGTCCACAATGGGGCAGGGTGGGGGTGGGGCACAAGACAGCTGCAGCAGGGGAGCGGGGACGGAAGCCCCCCTGACCCTGGAATCCACACAGGGAGGTCCCCTGGACCGAGGGGCCGTCCCAGGGCCCACACAACAGGAAAGCATCAGAGTCCCGAGCACCATGGGCCCGAAACCTGCTGACTTGTGCAATTTCATCGAGCAAAAGCCAGCTGTGTTTATTTCCACCCGGAAGGTTTTCATTGTCCTGAAGACCTCCAGCCCTAAATGGCTGAGACCCGCCACCTCTCAGGTAGGGAGCAGGTGACAGCCCAGAAGCCCACTGCCCTGCATCTGCCCTCCCCCTTCCCAGGAGCATCTGCCTAATTCCAGAACAAAGAGGAAAAGGGAGGAGCTTCGAACAGTCCTAACCAGACCCTGCTCCCTCTCATCTCTGTGGACTGTCCCCACAGTAGCATCCACGGTAGTGTCCCTGCTTGTCCCAACTGAAGACACCACACCTCAGGGCAAGGGGAGCTGAGCCCTCCCTCCAGAGCAGGCATGCCAGTCCTACTGCACGTGCACTCACCAGGGTGCCAGGCCCGGGGCAGCCACTGCCCCGTCCTGTGTCCACGTCAGACCGTCATAATTGACCTTCACCCTAATTGACGCTCCCCCAACTGTGGACCAGCCAATCGATGCACACACAGCGAATCCTTCCGACCTAAAGGCTCAGGCCAGACACCCAGGAGGAGTCCTCATGTGCTCGCTCCCGCACCGGCATCCAGCCCAAAGCTCGTCCAAGGGTGCTGCCCCTGGTGCACCTTGAACACACCCACGTCTGTCCACCTCCAGTGCCACCTCGTGCTCCTGCAGAGGCCTTAGCCAGTTCCCCCTTTCACTCCTGCTCGCCCATTTCCACCCTCTACCTCGCAGCTGGTGATCTTGCACGGCCTCTTGGCCATAATTAAGCACTTAATTGGGCTGACAGCTCCTCTTCCACCCAGGCCAGGGGCTCCCTGAGAACAGGCACCAACCCTGTCCGGATTGCCATCCCATGCCTCAGCACCCACCCTTAGAAGCATGCCAGCCAGTTTTGTTGAATGAATGAATGAATGAATGAGTGAACAACCAACCATATGCCCAGGCAAAACCAGATGTGCGAGAGCTGTCTGTCAATAAGCCTTGGGGAAGGGGCAGGAGCTCGAGATTTGAGGTGGCAGGTTGCACGAAGCATCACACCCACAGAGATGGAAAAACACACCATTTTAAGACAAAGCTGCACAAAGCTCCACAGCAAGAAGGGGTGCTCCTGGTTGGTCAGACTCGTGGGATGCTGGAAAAACAGGGACGCCACAGAAGGAAGCCCAGGGCTCCTGGTTGGCAGGAGCAGCAAGGTGCATGCTCCAGGTGCGGCCAGAGCAGAGACCTGGGGCAGGACAGAAACCCCACGCAATGTGAAGGATAGTACCCAGGCAGGACCGGCCCTGCACGACCTTCGCCCTGGTAGGTCAGGCAAGAGCAACAGCAACAGTGAGGGGAGCCTGTGTCGGAGGACATGGACCGGTGGTCTGGGAAGCCCACGACACCAGCCTCCTGCGGCAGGGCCCACCCCTCCCCACTGTCCCCAAAACAGCAAACAATGGCAGTTTCCCCAACTACCCCCAAGTGCACAGCACAGAGGAGGGCGGCCGGCTCTCTCCAACAGACAGACACACACCCCAAAAGATCCACCCAACTCGTGACAGACACAACACACTGAAAAGTGGAAGAACTCACACCCGAGGAAATAGAGCTCATGAGCGTCAGACCACGGCTTTAAAACCAGGACGTCTGACATCCTCCAGGACAAGCGGGGAGCACCTCACAGAGATGACAAAGACAGGTGGACAGGAAAGAGAACCGAGTGGAGACGTGGGAACGAAAAACAGAAAACCTCAGTGCATGGGTGCTAAAGGAAGAGTGGTGCTTTACAAAACAATTAACAAATTTGTTTTCTACTTAACATTATTTTAAAAACATTAATGAATCTTAAGAGTGCCTGTTGCACGCCAGGTCATGGAGGGAGGTCTGGGAAGCTTGGGGATTGTCCCTTGCAGCTGTTGGCCTGGCCGGGACTGCACCCACAGGACCCTTGGGGGCCAGGAAGGAGCCTTCTGAACCCACGGACATGAGAAATGCAAGGTCAGATGGAGGTTACCTGGGGCCCACAGTGCCCACAGGGTCTGCCACTGCCAAGGGGCCATCCTCTGAGGGCCAAGCAGGCAGAGGGAAGGCTTGGGGCAGGGAACTCCCCCCAGTGACCAGCTGTCCACACGTCTCTCCTGCTCTTGGCTGAGCCTGGGTGCTGGATGGCAGATTGGGGGAGTGCAATCCGCAGGGTGGGGGCAGCACATCCAGGCACATATGTGGCCTCTTTAATGCCAGCCACTTTCTCTTATGGTGAAAGGCGAGGAAAGCAGAGGACAAGGGTGGGCGCTCCCCTGCCCAGGCCAGGGAGGGGCTGGTGGGGGGTTCCCTCTGCCCGGGCCTCACAGGCACATCCCAGGCACACACAACAGGGCAGGACCCCAGCAGGGCACGTCTGCCCCTGACAACCCCCCAGCCCCCGGCGGGGGAGACCAAAGCCAGGCTGAACTAGGGCTCAGGTCCTCAGCAAGGCCACATCTGTCTGCCACATGTGGAGGTGTTTGGGGGTCAAACGGCGCCAGGCATGCAAAAGCACAGACAAACGGGGAGATGGTGAGGACAACGCACCACCAGGGATGCCAGAGGGAGGGCTGGCTCAGCACGAGGTCCCAGGCCTCCAAGCAGCGCTGTTCAGAGGACACTGTTGTCTCGTCAACCAAGGCTGACGGCGGTTCCTAAACCACTTGAGCTGCTGCAAAGAACTGCCCGTGAGATGCCCGGGCTGGGGGTCACAAAGCCCACCTCCACAATTGGTGGTGGCTCAGGAAGGGAAGCCACTTCCCTGGGAGCCCAGGGAACAGAGTGACCCTGAGTCCACCCAAACCTGCTGCAACCCTATGCTGGCTGGAGGCTTGGGGCCCTGACCACATCCCCCACCCAACCAACGCCCTCTCTGCCGAGACTCTCATGGGCGGAGGGCACAGTCCAGCTGCTCCGTGCTGGGCACTGAGGCTCCAGGCTCACCAGGAAGGGCCAAGCCCTCCAGACGGGGAGGGCTGGACAGGTGGGTGGATGGACCTCCCCCTGCCCAGAGTCAGGCCAGCTCCCAAAGCCCTAGCACAGCATCGAAGTCAAGAGAAAAACCAGCCTCACCATGCTGGGGAGGCCACGTCCTTTCAATGCGGGAGTTGGGAGGCTGAGCAGGCCAGAGCAAGCCTTCCCCTCCTCTCCCTCGCCCCTGCATGCAGACTCCCCGAAGGCCACGCACCAGAGCCTTCCAGAAGGAAGAGCTCC